TGAGATTCTTGAGAATCTGCATTTGTTAAACTCTTTCATTATATTCATAATATATATTACATTTCATTAGCAGCAAGCAACTTACCCATTATCTGCTGCAATTACATATCTTTTCTGTGCTCCTTGTTCTGTCCTCTTTCCTCTTCATCTGTTCTTGGGAATCTGTATTTGTTAAACTTTTTCATTATCTTCATAACATATATTACATTACATTACATTAGTATCAACTTACAAATTATCTGCTGAACTTGAACACCCAACCATAGTTCTCCGACACTACTGCTCCCAGCTGCTTATAAATCCCACAAGTAGTTGATTCTTAAAATTTATTCTTATGTATTATGTATGTTAATTCTTAAATTTATTATTAACATTACAATACTTACGAGTATTAAACATCAATCTTTTGGCAGTGGCTGAAGGTGGTTGAAGCTTGAATACCTAAAATGTATTTTTAGATAAATTAGCGTCAATTAAAAACTGAATTCATTTAATATTTTCACTTACTTCTGGGCCGTCCATAAATCAATGGTGTATTATTGGCAACACAAAGTACCTCAGGTGGTGGTGGTAAACTACTATACTCTAGTTCCTCTACTTCTTCCTCTTCACTGCTGCGGTGAATTCTTTTGCGTTCACGTGTCTGGATCTTCTGCAACTCTATGTCCGATGTGGTGTCAGAGTGTTTCTCGACCTCCTTTACCTCATCCATTGCCAACTAAAATACATACGCAGACACGATATATTACAAATATTCTTGATACATTTGTTATCAATTATTCCACTTTATTCACCGGTTGATGCAAAAACTCGCTCAATTTTAAACACTACCCATGTAGCGGGCGGAGTAAAATGTTCCCTCATATCCTTCACTGATCGATAGAAAAACACCATGTCCTTGTAGATTGGGAATAAACAGCTACCTTTAGTACTGTTATACCAATTGCTCGCAATAACGTTGACTCCATCCTTGAAATCAACAACCATGTAGGGTTTCTGACTCATCTAAATCAAAAGTAATCATGGTAATCTCTAAAATTATGAGTATTATATAGTATATAATATATACTATGAAACACAATTTGTAAATATTCGAACTTTATCCTGAACTCCTAAAATCTCTTGAACTATGAAACACAATTTATACACAATTTATAAATATTAGAACTTTATCCTGAAATCTCTTGAACTAGATCAACAAACTATTGAAATGAATCAGCAAACTCTTGAAATAAATCAGCAAATTCTTAAACTAAATCCTGGAAGAAATCTGTTAACTTCTGAGAGAAATCTGTTAACTCCTGGAAGAAATCTGTTAAATGTATTAAAATATAAAACAAATGTATTGAATTCTGAAATAAATGTATTCAATTCTTTAGCGAAACTTCAAGTATTGAAACACTTAGTTCCTGGCAAATCTGGTCAATTCAAATAATGAATATAAATTAATTTCAACAGAATAATGAATGATGATAACCTCTTTCAGTGGCGGCGGAGAAATCAAAAATAATCTTTCTATTTAGGAATTAAAATGGCCCCTACCTGGTGTCATCATGAAGTTAGGTGCACGCTACCAAGGTCACAGGCTAGACAACATAACAATAATGAAATAAATATAAAATATAACAAATAATACATCTACTATCAATAACAACAACTTACTATCATTACATTGAAAATGCCGCATATTTTCCATTTCTGTCCCAAGAGGAAATGCTACATATTTTTTCTTACCTTCTTATTGGCCATGATCCCAAATCCGATATTGAACTCACCATACATTCTCCTATAAAGATGATTTGCATGGATGATCATACAAATCATCTTTAATTTTTAACTCTTTTCCAATAACTACTAGTTCCTGTCTAATTGAACGAAATGCAACATTAATGATAATAATTTTGTCATTAGCCAAAGCACAAAATGAATCTGATTTTTCATTAATATTAAAACTATATGAGCCAGAGGCAAATGTTGAAAAAAAAGGTAAATTTTTGAAAAAAAAAACTTGGAAACAATCCAAGAGGTCCACGATTTTGAAACTGAAATTCAAAATTTTTGAATCGATAAAAACTTAGGAACGCCAAATCGCCAAAAAAAAACTTAAATTGTCCAAACTGTACTGCGTGTGATAAAAATTGTAAAAAGTTATAACTTATCCACTCACCATCTATCATTGAAAACCTTATAAAATCATGGACTGATTTCCAAACTGAACTAGTGCTGTATGACATCGTGCCTTAAGGCAAATTGCTGGAGCTTCCCGTGCCGTAACGAAATGTTCGAGGAATATCAAATGTTTTTAAATACATTATTATAATGCTGCTGTAACGTTATCTTTATAAAATTATATGAACTGAATTACAAAGTTATAATTATTTATTTAGAGTATATAAGTGATCTTTAGAACGTTAGCCAGAATTAAAATTAAAATATGAAATAATTTTGATATGCAAAAAAAAAAATTGAAATAAAAGATTTTTTTTCCAAAAGCTCCAAAAGCAATTATTTTGTCAAAACAAGCAGAAAGTTTTTTGAATCATTCAATTCGGATGCTTAGTTCTCTCAAAAACTGCGATTTTTTGCACTTTTAGCTCGGTATCTCCAAAACGATTGGACCTGCCTTTGCCAGAAACTAATCACCACTTCTACCCGTCACTACGAATTGAATGTTTTTTGTATCATTCAGATCGGATGCTCCGTTCTCTCAAAAACTATTTCTATTTTCTGCACTCTTCGCTTAGTATTTCCGAAATAGCTGGACCTGCCTTTGCCAAATACTAATCAGCACATCTCCCTTTAATAGGAATCAAATGTTTTTTAACCATTCAAATCAGTTGATACGTGCTCTCAAAAACGTGGACGAAAAATTGTATCCATACATACATTATATATACACATCACATCCAATTTTTCTGAGGCATGCCAAAATGTTGGAACCTTCTGAAAATGTTCAATTGCGATTTTTGGCCGATTACAATAACTAACTAGTGGGGCGCATGGCATCGTGCCTTAAAGCAAATTGCTGGAACTTCCCGTACTAATTTTTTTTTTAAAAGATTAACATTTTACAAAAAAAAAATTACTCTGAAAAATTAGATTTTTGAGAAACTATAAATTTTTGACAAAAATTTCCTTTTTGAAAAAATAAACTTTTTGAAGAAAAATTTATTTTGAAATATTTTGGAAATTCTGAACTTTTTTTCAAAGCAATCGTACTGCTTTAACTGCATAGAGACGAAATATCAAAGCGCGTAAGCGCCGCATCGCCGCCTAACGGATAAACATTGGTACGGAACCAATAGGAATGTAACAAAAATTATACTTATTGTTAAAATCTCTATAAAATATTTGATAATTTGATGTGCATATGTCTAATGATTATTTTTGACCGCCAAATGGCATTTTTTTTACTAGACCTGCCTTCATGAAAATGTGATCAGTTCTTCATTTTGTTAATATAAGTAACATGTTTTTTAAATTATTCAAATCGGACGCTTCGTTCTCATAAAAACTGAGTTACCGTTTTTTGGCACTTTTTGCCCCATATCTTCGGAACGGCTAAGACCTGCCTTCGCCAAAAATTAATCCTTATCAATACGAATATAGTAATTTTTGAATTAGTCAAATTGCTTCTTGGTACGGAACCAATAGGAATGTAAACAAAATTTATACTTATTGTTAAAATCTCTATAAAATATTTGATAATTTGATGTGCATATGTCTAATGATTATTTTTGACCGCCAAATGGCATTTTTTTTACTAGACCTGCCTTCATGAAAATGTGATCAGTTCTTCATTTGTTAATATAAGTAACATGTTTTTTAAATTATTCAAATCGGACGCTTCGTTCTCTAAAAACTGAGTTACCGTTTTTGGCACTTTTTGCCCCATATCTTCGGAACGGCTAGACCTGCCTTCGCCAAAAAAATCCTTATCAATACGAATATAGTAATTTTTGAATTAGTCAAATTGCTTCTTCCGTGTTCTCGAAATCGAAAATTTGTATCCGAACACACACATACACGCACACACACACACGCACATACATCCATTTTTTCTAAGGTATGTCAACATGTTCAGAAGGTTTTGAAACGTAAAGATATATAACAATTTTCATTTTCGATTTTTTTGCATTTACTATAACTTGCCCCACGGGAAGTTAAAAATAAATTAAAAAAAGAGTAAACTTATTTTAGTAATGCCTCACTTATTATAATCTGAAGATCACAAATAAAAAGTAATAACATAATTACATGAATTCATTTCATAATTAAACAATATTTCTAAAAGTAACAATGATTAATTTTCATACATAACAAATTTTTAAACCCAACTTAGAAAAACAACTATCCGTAAAAAATGGTAAATATGTATATTAGACGTTAACAAATTATTCACAATTGTCGAAACAAGTTGTAATCACAGATAATTCATAATCTATCCTTAAGCTTATAATCGAATATTTGTCTTTATTCATTTTTAAAACATCCTTAAATTTATTTTATTATTTTGGTAATATACTTTTATATCTCTGTATGTTTTTATAGCATGCTTTTGTTTTCATCAAATTGTCATGGATTATATTAAGACTAAAACATATCAGAAAATTATTTGTTTACACAGAAAGAAGTGAAAATATTCACAGACAAATGAAAATTAATAATCTGTATCAACTTTTTCATTGCAATTTGAAATAATAGCTTGAGACAATAAGGATTTAAATATAATCTTTTCTTTGATTAATTACTTCCCCTCAAGTGATTATTCAAATTTAAATAATATCTTAACTTATCAAATAAGACAGAAAAAAGAGGAATGGTTCAGAGAAAGTAAACTGTCTAAATAACAAATTTCAATTACAATTATATAAAATATAAAACTTTCAACAACACAAACACAAAATAACAAGTCACAAGTTAATAGTCATCTTAAAACTAAAACGATTATTCTGCAACCATAATTAATACTTCTTATGTTCATAATTTAAAATTTAAGCTCACTCAGAACAGGCAACATCTTTAAAAATACTCTCAACGTCTTCAGACACTTTTGGATTACTTATTTTGAATGCATAAAGAATCATATCCAATGATCGAAGCGGAGGAGTTAACTGTAATACTGAATCATCCTTAACTTCTATCGGGATGTTAGCTCTGAAATATAAAACCTCCTTTATATATAAAAATAGATGTATATATGTTATAGACCTTATACTACATGGACTGCTAATAGAGCACAAAATAAGTTCTCAAACATAGAAGGGTATGTGACGTCACTTGCTGAGCGAAGCGAACATGCCGACGACAACTGCGGAACTCTCCCGATTAATTAAATGTCATGTCATATGTTTTATTAACTTCCCGAAGGAGAAGTTTTTCATAAAAAATCCGATTCGCTAATTTAATGTTTTCTCGACGTTTCAAGTCGTTCTGAATCGGACGAGACCAAATTTGGAAAAAAGATGTGTGTGTGTATGTGTGGCGGTATGTGAAAAGATTTTTGCCGTAAATCGACGTTTCTCAGAAACGAATTTAAAAAATTTAAAAGTCATTCGATGTATCTCGATGAGAACTAGCGTTTATCAGTTTTGCGCGACGATCGGCCGAGCCGTTTCTTTGTAAATCGCAGAAAAGTGAAAAAAATGTTCGTCCACGTTTTAGCCCGCAATTCTGAATCGATATGAAAATTCAAAAACCATTCAAAAATATTGGTTGGGAATCGTGCTGATTAGTTTTTGGTAGAGATCGGCCGGGCCGTTTTCTTAAATTCAATTTTTAATAAAATGTTAAAATAATTTTTTTCGACGATTTTTTTATTATTTCTTTAGTGATAGATACCATAGTCTTCTAGATCATACTAAAATATTACGGCCCTACGACAACTCGTTTACTTTAAAAATTCGTCAAAGTTTGCAAAAATTGGTTTCGTTTTTTTGGCATTTGTCAAAATTAGACCTTTCATCGATGTTTGCCTCTCAAAAACGCCTAAACCGATTTTAGAAATTTAAAAGCCATTTGATGTGGTCTCAATAAGGACTATCGCTTTGTCAGTTTTGTGAGACAATCTGCCCAGCCGTTTCTTTGTAATTTGAAACCTCAAACTACCGAACCGATTTTCTCTTAGAAAATATTTCGTTAACTAGTTTGTTCGTTTTCAGTTATGTGTTATAAATCCACTCGGAATACTGTTAATCACTCATAAATTATTTTTTTTATGATTTAAGTCGATTATTTACACATATCGGGAAGTTCATTTAACTTGCCGCAAGACAAAATACCAATACCAACTAGTTCATCTCAATTTTCGTCACCGAAGTTTTGACAGACAGATTGTGATTGAGTTTTTTTGAGCCTATGAAAAGCTCAATTTGACAAAAAAAAATTAATTTCATCAAAGGATGTACAACTCTGATACTTCAATTTTCTTTTTCTTCAAATGCGAGTTTGAAAATACATGCACGCAATCCTCAATTTTCACCTTCCTACCCAACACTTCCAATTTCATTAATAATTTTTAACCTGATCGATAACCGGTCAATTATGCTATTTTAGTCGACGTTCACGAAATTTCGATCAGATTTTTATGTTTATCACTTCTGATCATCCTCTAAATTTTTTTAGAATTTTCTTTACTAGATACAAATTTAATTAGTATCTTATATTATTTTTCAGCAAAGTGAATAGTTATAATGAACTGGATTGTGATAAATAAAGAAACATATGAAATGCTTGAGTTGTCTTATTTCAATATTTCTTGCACAAAACCCCAACAATGAGAGTTTCAATTAGGTTCACAATTTTTTAACTTCCCGTAGGGCAAGTTATAGTAATCGAAAAAAAATCGAAAATGAAAATTTGTATATATCTACGTTTCAAACCTTCTGAACATTTTGGCATACCTTAGAAAAAACGTGTGTGTATGTGTGTGTGTTCGGTTACAAATTTTCGTCGACGATTTCGGGAACAGATGAATCGATTTGAAACAATTAAAAAAAACATTCGATTCGTATTGATAAGGAGACGTGCTGATTAGTTTTTGGCGAAGGCAAAGTCTAGCCGTTCCGAAGATATGGGGCTAAAAAATGCCAAAAGCGGTACTCAGTTTTTAAGAGAACGGAGCGTCGGATTTGAATAATTCAAAAAACATTTACTTGTATTGACAAGATGAAGAACTGTTTGAATTTTTGGAAAGGCAGGTGCAGCGGTTATTGACTATCAATAAAAATAAGTTAAAAAAATGAAAATGAAAAACTGATCAAATTTCATGAAGGCATTTCTAGCGGTTTCAGAGATCTAGTAAAAAAAGTAAAAAAAATGCCATTTGGCGGTCAAATGATCATTAGACATATGCACATCAAAATTATCAGATATTTTATAGAGATTTTAACAATAAGTATAAATTTTGTTTATGCATTCTATTGTTCCGTACCAATGTTTATCCGTTAGACGGCGACGCAGCGCTTACGCGCTCGATATTTCATCTCTATGCAGTTAAAGCAGTACGATTGCTTTGAAAAAATGTTCTAAATTTCCAAAATATGTTCAAAATAATTTTTCTTCAAAAATTTATATTTTTGCAAAAAAAAAGTCAAATTTGTCAAAAATTATAGTTTCTCAAAAATCTAACGTTTTCAGAGGATTTTTTTTTTTTCAAAAATGTTAATCTTTTTTTAAAACAAATATTTTTGGTACTGGAAGTTCCAGCAATTTACCTTAAGGCACGACGCCATACGCCCCACTAGTTTCAAACAATTTACAACACTTTCCTATAAGTAGTCTATGACGCATTGCTACATGCAACTTTTTCGAAAGCCGCACTAAAATCTTACTTTAACTAGTTGAAAGTGGCATTTAGCCTTAAGGCAAGTTCCACGAACTTCCCGATAGGTGTAATAATTGTAATTATGACTTAATCAGCCGAAATTGAGACTCATATATTTAGATGAAATTTTCAACTGCACGATTACGTATAACATATATGCACGTAGTCACTGATATTTAATGCTTTTAATTAAATTAATAGTAACATTTTTTTAAAAACTAAAGAAGTTTTGTAGACTTATTTTTCCGCCCAAAAAATGACTTTTAACCCTTTCCACTCGCGAATTGCAGAATCAAACACATATCGCCGCCGGACGCCGGAGTGGCGGTATCCGAGTGGAAAGGGTTAAATTTGTGATATTCAAATTTTGACTCATCACATCACAAAAGCGACTTGTGACACAAATGACTACCATTTTTTTCAAACTTGATGAATTTGGAAAAATGAACTACTTGCCGTAGGGCCGTGAAATTGTAGTATGTTTTTCAAGACCAAAATTTTCACCAGCTAATTACGAAGAAACGGCTCAGCCGATCTTTGTCTAAAATCGATTAGCACGATTCCCAAATAATATCATTCGAATTGAAACGTTGAATTTTTAAAATCCAGTCAGAATTTTTGACTGAAACGTGGATGAAAACTTTCCACTTCTCTCTTAATTACTAAAAAACGGTTCGGCCAATCGTCGCGCAAAACTGAGAAACGATAGTGATCATCGAGGAACCTCGAATAGTTTTTAAATTTTTGAAATCGGTTCAGGCGTTTTGAAAAAACGTCTATGAAAGGTGTAATTTTGACAACCGCCACGAAAAACGCTACTAAATTTCTCAAACTTTAACAAATTTTTAAAATTAAACGACTTGTCGTAGGGCCATATTATTTTAGTATGATCTATAAGGCCATGGTATCTATCATCAAAAAAGAAACCATAAAAATCGCCGGAAAGAAAATTCAACGGTTAATTACAAGAACTTCTGCTAGCGAATCTTTTCGAAAAACTAATCAGGTCGATTCCCAACCAATATCTTTCGAACGGTTTTGAATTTTCAAAATCGATTCAGAATTGAGAGCTAAAAGGGCGACAAAAAACTTTTCATTTTTCTGCTATTTACAAAGAAACAGCTCGGCCGATCGTCGCGCAAAACTAACAAACGACAGTCCTCATCGAGATACATTGAATGGCTTTTAAATTTTTGAAAACAAAAACTTCTTGTTCGGGAAGTTAAAGAATGCTCACGATAAATCATCGGTCTCTTACAAAAGTTTTACAACTTACCTCTGGAACTCCAAAAATATTTCAGGATGTGATTCTAAAGTGATTTTGACACTTCTGCATTTCAAACCGGCGATGTTCATTTTTGTTGCGATTTCCTCTGATGTATAATTTGGCATTAATTTTTTAATGAATTCTTCTGTCAGCACATAAATTCTGTAGTTGACGACAGTGCAGTACATGTCGTGTCCACCAATGCCTAAGGAGATAAAAATATTAGATGTACTATATATAATAGTAATTTTCCTATTTATAAAATTTATATTTTCAGGAGTTTTGCTTGAAAATCCGACTTGCTAATTTTATGTTTCTTCAAAGTTTCAAGTCATTCTGAATTCGTATGAAGCCAAAATTGAACTAGTAGTGTATGGCATCGTGTCTTAAGGCAAATTGCTGAAACTTTCCGTGCCTTAATGAAATATTCAAAGAATATGAAATGTTTTCAAATTATTTATACTGTATTATTTCAAATTATAAATACTGTAAGATTCATTATTCGTATTTTATGGACAAACTATAAGAGCTTTTAATTTGAACGATGACGCTTATATAACTTTACATGAAAAGTAAATAGAGAAAACTTAATCAAGCGGAGTTAGAATTAAAGACCTTATTTCATATTTCTAAGAAGTCTAGTGGTGCATGGCATTGTGCCTGAAGGCAAATTGCTGGAACTTCTCGTACCGTGATTAAACATTCGAGGAATTGAAATAAATAATAATTGTTTCACATAATTTCAAACATATTATTTATTATAAATACATATTGTAAATTAAATTGGGCGATGAGCGTATTCTTCAAACATCTTATGTGTATGTTTACAAGAAATTTGAAATTTTTTGAAAAAAATAATTGATTATTTTGATAGTTTTTCAAGATTTTGAAACTTTTTGGATTTTTTGGAAAAAATCGTTTTTTTTATATTATGTGAAAACAATTTTTTTTTGAAAATTTTGAAATATTCTCAAATTTTTCAAAGATCTCGATTTTTTTAAAATTTTGATATTTTTTGAAATTTTTCAAAATTTAGATTTTTTTGAAAATGAAAAATTTCGAAGATGAAATTTTTGTAAAAGCATTTTTTGCACATAGTCTACACAAGCAAAAGGTTTTCTGAATTAATCTAATCGGATAATCCGTTCGTTCTCTCAAAAACTGCATTACCCTTTGCGCTTCATACAAATCGGTTATTCCATACTGTCCAAAATGTCGAGAACATTTGTTTGAACCATATAAATGAACTTCAAAGTTAAAAACCTGGTACGGAACCCAAAAAAATAACACAAAATGTTAATTTAATTATTATTACATTATTAAAATTTCTATAAAATATCAGATAATTTGATGTGAATATGTCTAATGAATATCTTTGACTGCCAAATGGCGTTTTTTTTATAACTTTTTTCATTGAGAGTCCATAACCTAGACTTGCCTTGGCCAAAAACTAATCACGTCTCTTTATCAATACTAATCGAATGTTTTTTGAATTATTCAAATCGGTTGATTCGTGTTCCCGAAATCGACGAAAATTTGTATCCGCACACACACATCCATTTTTTCTAAGGTATGCCAAAATGTTCAGAAACCTTGGAACGTAAAGATATATAAACATTATCATTTCCGATTTTTTTGCGATTACTATAAATTATCGTACGGGAAGTAAATAAACTTAATTACGAAGATTGAATTTTCAAAATGTAATAATTATAATATAAGTAAACTTTGGAGTTTCGGCTAAAATTAAAATCAAAATCCGAATTATTTCGATATTAAAAAATAAAAATTATTTTGATAATTTGAAAAAAATGCTTTTCCCAAAAATAATAATTGTTTCGTCAACACGAGCAAAATGTTTTTTGAATCATTCAAATCGGATGCTTAGTTCTCTATAACTAAAACTACTAAACTATGTACCAAAAACTATATTTTTTTGTACATTTACCTCTATATCTTCGAAATGGCTGGACCTGCCTTTGCCAAAAACTAATCACCGCTTCTCCCTACCAATACAAATTGAATATTTTTTGGATCATTCAAATCGGATACTCCGTTCTCTCAAAAACTCGTTTTCTATTCACTGCATTCTTTGCTCCGTATCTCCGAAACGACTGGACCAACTTTTGTCAAGAACTAACCAGCATGTTTCCTCATCAATAAGAATCAATTGCTCAAATCAGTTGATCCGTGCTCCCGAAAACGTAGACGAAGGATTGTGTCCATTCATACGCGCGCACACACACTCTCGTTGTTTTTTTTTTCTAAGGTATGCCAAAATGTTCAGAAACCTATAAAACGTTGAGATATGCAAAAATATTCATTTTCGATTTTTTAACGATTACAATAACTTACCCTACTAGAAGATTATCTTACTGATGTCTAATGTTGGAAGCCCTAAACAAATCAGAAGGATATTACTATCATCAGTGGTTACTTGGGTGCTGACATATGGTATCTCCATATGGGCTGATGCTCTCAAAACTCAAAAATCGAGGAGAATGGCAGGACCTATATATCATCTGAGTGCTTTAAAAATTGCTTGCGCATTCCGCACAATATCGGAGAAAGCAGTGTGCGTCATTTCAGGAACTCTGCCTCTCTTAGCAGAAGAAAAACGGGCAATTTACCACAGAAGACATCAACAACTGAGTCCTAAAAAGTTGAGATTAGAAGAACGGCAGCATTGACCGATGGCAGCAACTGTGGGATGCCGCAGTGAAGGGCATCGTCTCATTCCAAACATGAAAGTCTGGATAAATCGCAAGCACGGAGAAGTGAATTATTACACTACGCAAATGCTACCTGGACATGGCTGTTTTCGAGCCTACCTACACCGCTTCAAGCATGATGGCATGATAGCCGAATTGTCCATATTGTTTGGGCGAAATCGAAGATGCTGAGCACGTGTTCTTTGTGCGCTCGCGATGTAGAAGAGATATTGAGCCGAAGAATTACTCCAGATACTGTTGTAGAAGTGATGCTGAAAACTGAGTCTGTCTGGGACGCAATAGACAGATTTTCAAGAGAAGTGCTAATTGACCTGCGATCTATGGAAGGAGAAACGGCAAATGAGACAAGAATGATAACATTCTAGATTCTCCCCCCACAAAGGAATGCCTAACGCGGTTTCCGTAGGAATTAGAGGCCAGAGATAAGCGGAGGTCTTAGTCGGTATTATACCCAGGCGGTGTCGAGTGCGACTTAGCCAAACAAAAGACGCTATACAAAAAAAAAGGTATGCCAAAATGTTCAGAAACCTTCAAAACACTTATTAACCCTGCGGGAGTTAACAAGCCCATTTGTTACAAAGACTTTTTATGTCACAAGCGCGCGGCCTCGTGATGATAAAAGTTAATAAATTTTTATATTCGAAAGACTTTTCGAAGGTCTCTAATATTTTAGTTTGTGCACAAAGCTTTCAATTGTTTGAAATCGGTTCAGTATTTTTGGCGCAAAAGTTACACATTTCTAAAGAAGCGGCTCAAACTACCAAATCAACGCGAGTCCTTATTGAATTTCACAATGTTGGATGTTTCACCAAATGGATGCACCCATTTTGGAAAAGACATCCACAAAAGGGTAAACTTACATTCCAATTTCAGTGAAATTAGCAAGTCGGATTCGCTGACAAAAACAAACTTCTCCTTTCTATTTAAACATGATGTATATTTGTAAATTCTAATTAAAAATCTTATATCACAATTAAACAATTAACATTTACATGCAAAATATTCAAACTTACTATAAACTCTCAAATGTTCAAGCCCTTCCGTGTCTGTCTCCCCCGAGGACGCAGAAGGCACTTCAGCATTCACAGGATCATTATTATAAGGAAGAGCATTCTTATCCAAATTCTCGATCCACTCCTTTTCCTTCTCTGTCTCAGCATACCTATATCGATTGATCATAAAATGGCCACAGCAATTTAAATTATTATTGGTCAAATCCAGATTATAAATCTCCTTATAAGTTTGTTTTAGGAATCTTTTAATCTCTCGTATAATGAAATAAAGATTGTAGCCATTCTTCTCGAGTCGAAGAAGATCTGAGTAGGTGTATGTGCTGCCATTTTCTAAATCGCTGAACATTGGTAGTAGGTAGTCCATGAACATTCGACAGTTGCCTGGTTGGGGTTTTGTGATACAATAAGCGTCCTTGAAGAAAAAAAAGGAAAAAACGGTTTAGTTTGTTGGAAAATATTTATTTAAAAAATATTTTTACATAATAGGTATTAGTCATAGTATTTTAATGTATTGTTAGTAAAATAAAAAATTATACATGATTTAAATTTTCTCTTATTGCTTCATTATTCTTGTTATAGTAAAATCTCGATTAACCGGACTATTTGTTTTCGATAGGCATTCGGATAATCGAATGAATGAAGAATAATGTGTATTTATTAAAAATAACAAATACATACATAGATTTCAACAAAAATAATGTTTATTAAGAAATTGAAACTTCCTTATGTATGTACATTAGGGCGGGTCGATTTGTATGGGTCAAAAAGTACTAGGGATCAAAATAAGATACCCTATCTCTAAAATTAATTCTGATGTCCCGTGCATTTACCCAAAGATTGTGAGTCAAATTTTGAAAAATCCTGTCTTGGCTCCTTTAGAGCGCCCCAATAGTGTCCAAATGTATGACTGACCCCCAGTAACTTTGAAAGGCTGATCGACCCATACCTATAGTTTACCCCCTGGGGCTGCCCTTTAGAGCTCCCTCATACAAAAGTAGCATCATTCTGGGTACTAAATTATGACAAAAACCAGCGATTTATTATTATTATAAAATTTATTTAATCATAACATATGTAAAACTTAAAAATTATTGTTTGAAGTCGTTTTTGGTATCAAGTCTGAAGAATTTTGCACGGCTCTCTAAAATCGTCACCGTAACAGCCTCTATAGAAACGCTGATACAAAATGCATTAGATTTTTTTTTTGCATAGTTTTATTTAGAAAAATTGAAACAAAAATTTTTAATTTTTTTTTGTGAAAAAGTGTTTTGTGTGTGTATGAATTGATATTTAAAAAAAATTGTTTAAAAAAATCATTTTTTCTGAGTGAAGTACCAAAAAACAATGACTTTTCGCAAATTTTTTTTATGGAAGACGTCTAAGGGGCGGTTCCAGGAGGACCGTTACACCCATAGGCATGGGTGGAACGGTCTTCCAAAGTTAGTTGGGGGTCGTTCACACATTTGGACGCAATTGAGACACTTTAAAATGGGTCAAAATGGAATTATTCAAATTTTAACCCTTATCTCTGGGCTAATGCACGGGGCATTAGAATTCATTTTAGTGGTATGGTTTCTTCAGCAAAATATCTTATTTTAATCCTTAAAATCAGAAAATCATATGTGCCTAAAAGACTTTTTTGACCCATACAAATTGACCCGCTATAATGTACATGCATAAGAAAGTTTCTAATTCTTAATAAACATTATTTTCGTTGATGTCTATGTATGTATTTGTTATTTTTAATAAATACATAACATTATTCTTCATACCTTCTATTATCCGGATTTTCGATTATCCGAATGCCTATCGACAACAATTAGTCTAGTTAATCAAGGCTCAACTATATTATTATGATTTAGGCAAGTCGTATTAATTCATGTCAAGTAGTATAAATCATTAATGGGTAGTTTATATATTATAAAATAACTCATCGTTTCGATCACAATCTTTAAAATGCTTTTTTGTAACAACTCTTCATTTAATCAAATAGTGTTAAATATAAATAGTAACAAATATAAATATAAAAATTGTGAAAAAGATAAAAAATTGGAATGATTAAATTATTATAGACTAACCTAGATAAAATTATTAAAAAATCTAAACTAATTTAGATAAAATTATTTTTCTTTATAATACATGTTAAAACTCATTTCTATTTCAGAAATAAGTCTTATTATAGTCACAATAAATATGTACAAAAATCTAAATATAAATTATTCACACCGATATAATTTCAAATACACCTACATCCCTTTGCGTCGATTTTTTTGCGTTCTTTTCTAGATTTGCGCTTTTGCTAAATTGATACAAATTATCAGTATAAGAGTTCGTTACATTTTCGAAGTTTCGTTACGTTAGATTCGATTTTTTTTTTAAATATTTTTTTTTTAATTTGAAGGAACCTTGCATAATAAATTCTCTAACCAACCTAAGTAACTAAGGCTGCAGCAATGTATTAATGAAGATGAAAAGATGTCAGAGATGACCGATCTTGGAAGGACCAAGTTTAATGGGGAAATTCTGACATAACAGAGCTCATAAAATAGCGTTGTCATGGCAACTCTCACTTATGCTTGTTCTTGGTAGTAAAAATTATGTAAATGTCAATCTATTTGTGGTGCGATCAGGCATTTTGTACATATAAACAAAGCAAGGGAGAATGTTATGATAACCGCATCATCGAAGATTTTGTTATCGTAAGATTCTTCCTTGCTTGTTTATATGTGAAATACGCCTGATCACACAGCAAATAAAAAGACATTCTTATGATTTTCACTATCAAGAACAAGCATAATAAAACGTTGCCATGACAAAGCTATTTTATGAGCTCTGTTCGGCAGAATTGCCCCATAAATCTTTATTGACAAAAGTATAGTGTTCTTTAAAAGTAAAATTAAAAAAAGGCCCGACAAAAATGCATGTCTAACCAAGATACATCAATCATGGTTTTACACGTTTTCGATCTAACGCGACTTTTGAAAATATTTTGTTAACGAAATTTATCAAATTTGCATTTGCACAAAATTATAAACACTGAACTATAATTTATTTATATCTACAATAACATTTTCTACAATAACATTACGGTTACTAATTTTTAGTAGTATGAAAATATGAGAACTCCTCGTTTTATGATAAAAAAACTAATATCATCAATGTTTGCACAATTGATAGAAAAGTAAATTGCTAATTTTATTTTTATTTTCAAACAAAAATATTTGTAATTTGTACTTTATATATTTGTTTTATTATTGAAATAAATTAATATTATTATAATTTTTTAAAGTGTTTGATATTAATATTTACTTTTCGTTCTATGTGTTCGTTATCCATCGTATTAACCCTTTCCACTCGGATGCCGCCGCTCAAAATACATATAAATTTCGCAAACCGCAAAAGACAATGACAAAAAGGGCTCGTTTAACACGGTTTTTTCATATAAAAGCGAATTTTTCGAGTAAAACGGTTTTCAATAGAACGTATCTTCCATGTAAAACGGGGGATGAGTGTACTTAAAATTCTCTAATACTAAAAGAAAAAAAAATTCATTAACAACGCTATAGTTTTTTTTTATAAAAGGCATTCTGGCAAAAGAAATCTCTAACGATCAATAAAAAATTCGATCAATTTAAAATTCTTCAATTAAAATTTACTATTGCAACTCAATCTGCAAATTTCTAATAAAGAAGATGACATTGATGGCTAATCAATGAAAAATCTCGAAAGAACAAACAATAAATTGCTATTGCTTAGGTGAAGCGATTAGGGCGGATGCCGAGCACGCCGTTATTCTGTGCAAAAAATGGAAAAAGGGTGGACAAGAACTATGGAGAGAGATAGTAAGGCAAAAAATCATCCTCACAACCAATTTTATAACATTATTGACAAAAAAAGGATATATTGTGCGCTATATAACTATATACAATCAAATAAAATAAAATTTTAAAGAAAACTTATAGAATATATATGACCAATGATTAATGTACGTGTATATAAAGTCAACAAATAAACGATTGAAAAAAAAGCAACTTTAAAATATCATTGACAGAACCCTGTTTTTTTTAGGAATCCTGTCAGTAGGTACGTATGAATATCAATTGTTATTAAAAAGTTTATGACCAATACGATCAATTTAAAATTCTTCAATTAAAAACTACTATTGCAACTCAACCTGCAAATTTCAATAAAGAAAATGAAATTGATAACTAATCACTGAAAATCTCGAAAGAACAAACAATGAATTGCTATTGCTTAAGTGGAGCGACTAAGGCGGATGCCGAGCTCTCCATTGTGGAGTGCAAAAATGGGAAAAGGGTGAGCAAGAACTATGGAGAGAGATAGGAAGGCAAAAAACCTCCCTTCCAACCAATTTTATAACATTATTGACAAAGTAAAGTATATGGTGTGCTATAGCAATCAAAATTAAATTGTAAAGATAACTTATAGAGTATATATGATTAATGTACGCGCTTACAAAGTCAACAAATAAACAATTAAAAAAAACTTTAAATTATCATTGATAGAGCCCTGAATTTTTTTTAAAGGAATCCTGCCAGGAGGTACCTAAGAATATCAATTGTTATAAAAAAAATTCATAACCAATATGATCAACTTAAAATTCTTCAATTAAAAACTACTATTGCAACACAACCTGCAAATTTCTAATAAAGAAGATGACTTTGATGACTAATTAATAAAAATCTCAAAAGAAAAAACTTTTAATTATCATTGGCAAAGCCCTGAAGTTTTTTTAAAAAGGAATCTTGTCAATGGCTGTGAATATCAGTTGTTAAAAAAAAAGTTTATAACCAATATGATCAATTTAGAATTCTTTAATCAAAAACTACTATTGCAACTCAATGCGTAAATTTCTAATGAAGAAGATGATACTGATGATTAATTAATCAATCAATCAATTTTGAAAGAACAAACTTTAAATTATCATTCATAAGGCCCTGAATTTTTTTTAAAAAGAAATCCTGTCAGTAGGTACCTACGAATATCAATTGTTATAAAGAAATTCATAACCAATATGATCAACTTAAAATTCTTTAATTAAAAACTACTGGTGCAACTGCAAATTTCTAATGAAGAAGATGACATTGATGACTAATCAATAAAAATCGGGAAAGAACGAACTTTGAGTTATCATTGACAAAGCCATGAATTTTATTTTAAGAAAGAATCCTGTCAGGAGGTACCTACTAATATCAAATGTGATAAAAAAAATATATTTTGCATACCAATTTGCATACATTATGCTACTGAATCGAACTGAATACTGTCAAAATGTCATGTATTTGCTGTGCATTCAGGTGTTTCATGTTATGAACCTCACTCAGAAAGACCCTGTTATCTAACATCGTTTTTTTTTTACATTTGTGCTGTTTCTAGGTTATGTTTTTTTCTATCTGACAAATTTGCCTAACTGCGCAGCAACCGCATGACTTTTGTCAATATTTAGAACAAAGTATGGTTCTTCATAAGATAGCCTTGCCATAACATTGGATTGTTATGCGGCAGAATCGGTCCCTCAATCTACAAATTTCTAATAAAAAAGATAACATTGGTGACTAATCAATAAACTAAATAAATCAATAGTAATTAGACATTTTTTTTAAAAAAAAAACATCCTGTCTGGAGGTACCCTGAGGAATATCAATTGTAATAAAGATATTTATTTCATGTTGAAAAAAAGCAAGCATTAGATCAGCACCCATTTTGAATCATCAGGCAACTAATATTTATTTTCTATTTCATAAATTTGCATTAATTCAAGCCGAAGTTTTGTAGTTTTATGTATGTATGTCATGCTAATATAATTTTTGTTTCTTAAATATATACTTTGTGCATTTTGCAAAAGTAAGGTGTATGCAGTACAATAGTACAGTCGAATAAAAATTAAATTAGGTGTATGTATCAAGCAATTTTTCAAGTTTCTCGAAAAAGCATTCATCGCTCAAATATTCATCATTATCTAACTCATCATCACTATCGTCACTTTCAATATCATCGTCACTTTGATCATCATCACTGTGATCACTGTCATCCTGCTGATCACTTACCGGGCAAATCGCAGCGTATCCTTTTTTCACTAATATTTCATTTAATGTTAAAGTTTCAGGATTGGTTTTATGGTGCTCGAAATCCTTGATGGTCATCCATATAATATTATTCTGGAAGAGATGAAACAAAATTAATATTAAAAAATCGGCTTCATTTTTTTTTCAACAGTTAATTACAAGAAAACGGCTCGGTAGATTTTCACCTAAAACTAATCAGTATCATTCCCAATTAATATCTTTCGATCAGTTTTTGATTTTTTAAAATCGGTTCGGTAGGATGAGCTTAAATGTGGACGAAAAGTTTAACACTTTTCTGCAATTTACAAAGAAACGGTACGGCCGATCGCCGCACAAAACTCAGAAACGATAGTCCTCATCGAGATACATCGAATGGCTTTTAAATTTTTGAAATAGGTCCAGCCGTTTTAGAGAAAATGTCGATTTACGGCAAAAAATCTGTTCACACACACACACACACACACACACACACACACACACACACACACACATAAACTTCTTCTTCGGGAAGGTAAAAATAACTAGTGGGGTGTATGGCATCGTGCCTTAAGGCAAATTGCTGGAACTTCCCGTACCGTAACGAAATGTTCGAGAAATATTGAATGTTTTCAAATATTGTAACATCGTTTAATATTTATAAGAATTATATAAACTGAATTGCACAATTGAAATTATTTGTTTAAAGTATATTAGATTTTTAGTCAGAATTAAAATTAAAATCTGAATTATTTTCAATATACAAAAAAAAATATTTGAAAACAAAAAAAATTTTGAAAAAAAAATTTGAAACAATTTTTTTCCCCAAAATCAATTATTTTGTTGAAACAAGCAGAAAGTTTTTTGAATCATTCAAATCGGGCGCTTAGTTCTCTCAAAACCTGCCATTTTTTGCACATTTAGCTTTGTATCGACGAAATGGCTGGACCTGCCTTTTTCTGCACTCTTTGCTCTTTATCTCCGTAACGGCTGGACCTACCCCTGCCAAACACTAATCAGCATATCTTCCTATCAAAAGGAATCGAATGTTTTTTGAACCATTCAAATCGGTTGATCCGTGCGCCCGAAAACGTGGACGAAAAAGTGCGGACACACAAAACAGACACACACATCCATTTTTTCTGAGGTATGCCAAAATGTTCAGAAACCTGTAAAACGTGCAGATATGCAAAAATTTTCATTTTCGATTTTTGGCCCATTGCTATAACTTACCCTACGGGAAGTTAATAATTATGTAGCATTTAGTTAAGAAGAAACGGAAAGGCCGATTGTTACTTAAGGCCAATTGCTGGAATTTCCCGTACCGTAATTAAAAATTTCTAAAAGCTTACAAAGGACATAAAATGAAAATTTAGAATTTTTTCAACATTTGTGAAAATTTTGAAAACATGTTTGAAAAAATAGAAAAAATATTAGATTCTTTGAAAATTTCGAAATTTTTGAAAACTTCGAACTTTTCATTGACTGATATTTTTGAAAATATTGAATATTTTGAAGTTTCTTGAAAGTTTTTCATACTTATTCAAGTCGGTTGGTCCATACAATCAAAAATGTCGAGGACATTTGTTTGAACTATATAAGGTAACTTTAAGTAGTGTAAATATTGATACGGAGCCCATAGATATGAAAACATTTGTACTTATTATTAAAATCTCCATAAAATATCGTTAGTTTTATGTACATATCTCTAATGATCAATTTTGTCAGCCTTATATCATTTTTATTACTTTTTATCTAGATCTCCGCAGCCGCTCGATCTGCCTTCGTAAAATTTAATCATTACTTCGTTATGTCAATACAAGTGAAATATTTTTTGAATTACTCAAATCGGATGCTCCGTTCTCTCGAAAACTTTATCGCCATTTTCTGCTTCTTTTGATCCGTACATCCAAAACAGGTAGACCATCCTCTGTTGAAAGCTAATCAGCACGTCCTCTTATCATTAGAAATCAAATACTTTTTGAGTAATTCAAATCGGTTGATCCGTGCTACCGAGAAAGTGGACGATAATTTGTATCCACACACACACACACACACATACAATTGAGGCCTCGTGAAACACTATAGACACATTTGCAACTGAAATGCGAATGGCAATAATTAGAAAAGAAGTATAATTTCAGAGCAAGAATTACACATTATAGATACCTGACTTAAAAAACTGTTTGGCCGATTATCTCGAATACCTGATCAAGGCCCCTCCTTATGGAGTTTTACTGATTGACTTTGAAATTTTTGTAATCGGTTCAGCCGTTTTTAAGAAAACACAACGCATTAGAAAAGCAACTTTTGAAACAATTGTGACTCATCACATTTTCTCAAATTTGATGAATTTTTATAATTAAAGGACTTGTAAGGGCGTAATATTTTAATATGTTTTTTTAAGACCATGACCTCTATCATCATTTTTTTTAACTTACAATCGCTTAGTGTTCGGGAGATAAATTTCAAATAGATTATTTAGAAAATCATTATTTTTCACATGCACAGTTATACGTTGCCTGTTCACGAGTTGGGAAACCATCCGCTTTGTGTTAACGTCAGACCAAAAAACAAAAAATGTGGTTTACCAAAGAGCACTTCAATGAAACGGATAATTTGCGGATTCACTTTCATTTACTTAGAGAAGTTCAACTAAAAAATACTTCATTTTTGTATTCGAAATAAATTCATTACTGTTGTGTAAATAAAATCAAAATTTTCCTTTTCAAACACAAACCAAAAATTTCTTCGTCTTTCTCACGAAACCATCTGGTGGCGAAACGGAGTTCGTCGGGTTTGCTGGTAATTTTATAACAACTCGATAAATTAATCAAAAAAGAATATGTGTAGTATTAAAATAGTCTGTTTCTTATAAAAATTATTACCTCTTCATCAATTTCAGTTGTCAAGCACAGAAGCCTCCTTTCTTCAATTAGTTTAAAGAAGAATCTACAAACAAACAAATCCCAATGTGTGCTATTGTTTGTTGGAATGATGAAGTCGAGACGTCCACGAATGACCTGTTTAGGTAAAGACTGGAAGTCCTTGGATAAATAACGAATCGTAGAAGTGTCTGCCACTATCAGCGATCCGTAGTCAATGAAATACAGCTGAAACATAAAGAGAACGTATAAATTAATTATGAAGCTAAGGTAAGTAGAATTTGGCCCTTGGGCAATATGGTTGACCATCCAGATATGTGGAAGTAACAAATGATTGATATAATCATAAGAATTGAGAAAGGGACCGTCCACTAATCACGTGAGTTTGATAAAAAATCACAAGTTATAGGAGGAGGGAAGGATATAGCAACATACCACTTGTATTTATTTTTTACCTGATTTTTTTAAAAATCAGTTGTGTATGGCATTGTGCCTTAAGACAAATTGCTGGTACTTCCCGTACCAGAATTAGATATTCGAAGGACAAAAATCAGTAATCAATAAAAATTGACCAATAATTTACAACAATTGTTTTATACATTTTTAAATAGATAATTATAATCACTATATATTTTATTGTTCATAAAATATAGGATCTCATCGCTCAAAGCACTTGAGCAAGTTTACATTAGCAAGACGTGTCGAATAAATCTATCTGAGGATATATTTCTTACGATTAGAATACCGCATTTGAAATATATATCGTACATTTTGAAACAGAATTGTAAATTTAAAATTCATATTTGAAGTATAAATCTTCAATTTTTGAAAATTTTGAAATTTGCTTGAACCGTATAAGTAAACATTAAATTAAAAATCTTAATGCGTAAACCAACAATATTATAACAAAAAAATTAGTACCCATTTTTAAAAACTTCAAATATCAATGTTCATTTTTGACCACCAAATATTTTTTTACTTGTTTCCCTATATCTCCGAAACCGCTACACCAATTCAACAATTATTAATTTCGTCATTACAAGTAAAATGTTTTTTGAATCATTCAAATCGAGTACTCCGTTCACTCAAAAACTGAAATACCGTTTTTGGCACTTTTTGCCCCATATCTCCGGTTAAACCGTCTCTAAATGTTTTTTGAACCATTCAAATCGATTGATTTGTGCGCCCGAAATCGTGGACGAAAAATTGTATCCAAACATACATACACACACACATCCATTTTTCTAAGATATGCGAAAATGTTCAGAAATCTTTCAAACGTAAAGATATGCAAAATTTTTAATAAACTTTCCGTAGGGTAGTTATAGTAATGGGCCAAAAATCGAAAATGAACATTTTTGCATTTCTCCACGTTTTGAATGGTTCAAAAAACATTCGATTCCTATAGAAGGGAGATTAGTTTCTGGCAAAGGCAGGTCCAGTCGTTACAGAGATACGAAGTAAAGAGTGCAGAAAATACAAATCGAGTTTTTGAGAGAACGAAGTATCCGATTTGAATGATCTAAAAAACATTCAATTTGTAATGATTGGGAGAAGAGTTTTTTTTTTAGCAAAGACAAGTCCAGCCATTTTGAAGATACAGAGCTAAATGTGCAAAAAATAGCAGTTTTTGGGAGAACTAAGCGTCCGATTTAAATTATTCAAAGAACTTGATACAAACAGAATAATTGCTTTTGAAAACAAATGTTTTTAATTTTTTTTTTTCAAAAAAAAATTTTTGAGTATCGAAAATAATTCAGATTTCAATTTTAATTCTGTTCTAATATACTTTAAACAAATAATTTCAACTTTGCAATTCAGTTTATATAATTCTTATAAATATTAAACAATGTTACAATATTCATAAAAATCTATTTGAAAACATTTAATATTCCTCGATCATTTCGTTACCGTACGGAAAGTTCCAGTAATTTGCCTTAAAGCACGATGCCATACACCACTAGTTACGATTTTTTTGCAATTACTATAACTTACACTACGAGAAGTTAAAAAAATTCAAATATTTTCAAAAAGAATTAAAAAATTATACTATTTTTTCTCGTAACTAAAAATACGAGTGATGTTTGTGGGAGAAGAGGGGGGGGGGATTTTGAATATCACCATGTATCACCAAGGTGGAGGGGGTGTCAAAAAATCCTTAAAAAAGTCGATCACGTGATTAATGGACGCCACCTTAGTACAAATTTATTGGTTTACTATAATTTAGGAGTTATTTCAGACACTCGATAACACCCATAGACACTTGCCAACACCCATAGACATTTGCTAACATACTCAGACACTCGACAACATCAACAGACACTTGATAGCATTCTCAAATACATTGCAATCATTGAGCTTATACTGCATAGACTGCTAGTCGAGCGGAAAATAAGTGCTCAAATATAGAAGGAACAGTGATGTCACTTGCTGAGCGAACGTTGCCGACAATCGCGAAACTCTCCCCATTGATTAAATGTCATATGTCATATGTTTTATTTCAATAACTAGATGACCCGACAGACGTTGTCCTGTACACACATCTACATTTTTAATACCCAATACTAATATTTACCGTTCAGTTAAAAATAATAATTATTGTTTTTCAAATTACTGTTTACGCCAATATATGAGATGTTAAATGTAGAACTGCTTCAAATAAAATGAAGATTCTCAATTCCCACTTAACACTTTAATTATCCCATTAACAAATATTAGAATATGTTCAATGAGCATTGTATATTAAAAATTATACACTGCAAATTATAATTTTATATGGGGCTATACAATATTATTAGTCATACCTGATGTAGATGTGGATGTATAAATGAATGATTTTTTGTTTATTGACGACTAAAACATTAATTTTGCACATTTTCGCACAAAAAATCATCGTCTGCCTTTGTAATGTATTTATGGTAATAGCATAAAAACTTTTTAAAAGTATAACAAATTCAGAAAGTATTAATATATAGCATTCGTGGTAAACGTATAATATCACCTGGGATTTTTCTACCCAAAATAATTGCTTCAATAATGTTGCCTATAATTTTTATAATTTCGTACCATATTTTAAGTGGCTTTTAGCAATTTTAAAATCTAAATTACATTTTTCTCACTGATAATTCAATATACATTATTACTTAAGTTCATATTTGAAGTGAATTAATTGGTCAAATCATGTTCTCATGTGCTCTATTCAACCTACGATCAACAAAATTATTGCAGTAAATGGAGAGGAAAAAGCGTGTGCCCTGTGTATTTTTTTTACTGCGCTCTAATTTGCATGATATTTTGGAAATAGAACTTGAGTTCAGAAGTGAAAAAATTTATGTAAATATGCAATATATTATATAGACATATCTATGAAATGCAAAGCGATGTTTGCCGATATTTTACATTTTGTTTATGTGAGATGAATTTGCAAAAAAGGCGTTTGTAGATAGAAGTGGGCCACTATTTGTGGACATACATATGTCACTTGAGTAATGCCGTTCTTTGCACAGTAAAAGTTTCTATTAATTATTCAAACATCTTATTGCTTATATTTATCACTAAAGCCATCATGACTCCAGGAGAAGCAGCACAGCGACAAAAAAGCAGGTGCCAGCAAAAGTTTCCAAGAAGGTTAATACTTATAATCAGCTATGAAAAAGGAGAAAACGAAAGTTTTCGTTTTTTTTTTTAAATAAGACATCGGCAAAGCTGATAAGAAAAAACTCCATCCATAGAGTGCGAAAACTGCGACATTTCATTTGAAGTGCGTCGATATGACCAACTCCACCGACTTGACGGGCACCAATTGTACCGAAAATCTTTACTTGAATGTTGCAATATTTTTAACTTCTCGTAGGGTAAGTTATAGTAATCGCAAAAAATCGAAAATGAAAATTTTTATATATCTTTACGTTTCAAAGGTTTCTGAATATTTTGGCATACCTTAAAAACAATGGATGTATGTGTGTTTGTGTATGTGTGTGTGTGCGGATACAAATTTTCGTCGACGATTTCGGGAATACCGATCAACCGATATAAATAATTTAAAAAACATTCGATTCGTATTGATAAGGAGACGTGCTGATTAGTTTTTGGCGAAGGCAGGTCTAGCCGTTCCAAAGATACGGGGCAAAAAGTGCCAAAAATGTATCTCATTTTTAAGAGAACTGAGCGTCCGATTTTAATAATTCAAAAAATATCTTACTGATCAAATGAAGATGAAGAACTGATCAAATTTTCATGCAGGCAGGTCTAGCGGTTTCAAAGATCCAATGAAAAAAGTAAAAAAAAAATGCCATTTGGCGGTCAAAAATGATCAATAGACCTATGCACATCAAATTACCAGATATTTTATAGAGATTTTAACAATAAGTATAATTTTTGTTTATATTCCTATGGATTCCGTACCAATGCTTATCCGTTAGACGGAGACGCGGCGCTTACTCGCTTTGGCATTTCGTCTCTATGTAGTCAAAGCAGTACGATTGCTTTGAAAAAAAAAAGGTTCAGAATTTCCAAAATATGTCAAAATAAAGAAAAAAAAAGAAATTTTTTCGAAGTAAAATTTTTTCAAAAATGTTAATCTTTTTAAAAAAATAATTTTTGGTACAGGAAGTTCTAGCAATTTGCCTTAAGGCTCGATGCCATGCGCCCCACTAGTTTTTCAACAATTTAATCATACCACCTTTATTACTCCTCTTCAAACATTAAAATAACATTATTACTGAAGTCACTTTACAATTTATACCCTTTATTTCGTGTCAATGATTATGAATTTTGCAAATTTGACAACGGTTTTGTAACCAGCGCATTTAAAAACCCTCAGGGTAAGAAGCATATGGCACCATTTTTTCAGATAAAAATTTGGGTAGCCCACTTCTGCCTAAATTTTTGGAAAACACGGTGAATACACTTTTTTGCTATTTAAAAAGAGAAATATTTCCAAACATAATTGCTAGCATCTGCTATGATAAAAAGTTGCATTTTGAAATGCCCTTGCAATTAAAAAAAAAATAAGAAAATATTTCCATTCTTAGCCATTTTACAACCAAAAATAAAAACGTGAGCCACTTCTGTCCATCGCACTATACATAAAATCGAATCCACCTGTTAAAATCGGTTTATATATTATAAGGCCTATGTTAGGCACGTAACATATGACATTTGACATTTGCTCAATCGAGATAGTCCGCGATTGTCGTCGGCAATGATCGCTCAAACATGTGACGTCACATACCCTTCTAAGTTTGAGCACTATATACAACAAAAAACATATGAGGAAAACATACGATTCTTAGACACTTTTAGTGCTGTTGAAAAAGCTTAATGCAAGAATATTCACTTCAAAAATTAAATGAATTCAGAAAAATATCTATAGGAGAATTAAAGGTAAAATTTGTTTACCTTACCTTAACTTTAGTAGTTTCTTCCACATCCACGATATAGGCTCTCTGCCAACTATTTGCATAACTAGCGGCACAGTACATATTCTTTTGCAAATTATTAATTTTTAATGACTCTTGGTTGTTTTCGTAATATTCCCTGAAAAATAATCGTTTGGAGTTAATAAAAATACTAACATGAACAAAAATAAAATGTTTAAAAAAATCTTTGCAAAAGCTCTTACAAGAAAAACCTCTGGTCTGAAATTTTGAAATAACTTTGTCATGGTGATAGACCTGATAGTCAAAACGAACTTGTTAACTTCCCGTAGGGTAAGTTATAGTAATTGCAAAAAAAAAATCGAAAATAAAAATTTGTATATATCTTTACGTTTCAAAGGTTTCTGAACATTTTGGCATACCTTAGAAAAAATGGATGTATATGTATATGTGTGTGTGTGTGTGTGCGGATACAAATTTTGTCGACGATTTGGGAGCACCGATCAACCGATTTGAATAATTCAAAAAACATTCGATTCGTATTGATAGAAAAATTGAAAATCTTGGTACGAAAGCCAAAAATTGACACAAAATGTGTCCACATTATTCAAATCTTTATAAAATATCTTATAATTTGATGTGCATATGTCTAAAGATCATTTTTGACCGCCAAACTGCATTTCTTTATTGAAACTCCATAACCGCTGCACCTGTCTTTCCAAGAATTTAATCAGTTCTTCATCTTGTCCATACATGTAAAATGTAAATTTTGAATCATCAAAATCGGACGCTTTTTTCTCTAAAACTTAATTACGATTTTTAGCTGTTTTTCCCCGTAACTTCGAAACGGCTAGACCTGCCCATACCTAAAAACTAATCAGCACGTCTCCGGTTGATCAATGAATTATTAAAATCGGTTGATCGGTGCTTCCGAAATCGTCGACAAAATTTGTATCCGCACGCATACATACATACATTTTTTCTAAGGTATACCAAAATGTTCAAAAATCTCTGAAACGTAAAGACATAAAAATTTTCATTTTCGATTTTTTTGCAATTACTATAACTTGCACTACGGGAAGTTAAAAATGTAAATGTTATTTTAAATAATAATATAAATGTTTGTTAAAGGTTGCTAATGTCCTACTTTTTGTAAAAATGAGGAAAGTTTTTGCACACACAACAAATACTCAAATATGTTTGAAAACATTATGACAATATTTCAAATTTATTTTGTACACTATGTGATCAACCGATTTGAATGGTTCAAAAAACATTCGATAGCTATTGATAGGAGATGTGCTGATTAGTTTTTGGCCAGTCGTTTTGGAGATACGGAGCAAATTGTGCAGAAAATAGAAATCGATTTTTTGAGAGATCGGAGCATCCGATTTGAATGATATAAAAATCATTCAATTTGTAATGAAAGGGAGAAGTGGTGATTCGTTTTTGGCAAAGGCGGGTACAGCGGTTTTGGAGATACAGAGCGTCCGATTTGAATGATTCAAAGAACTTTCTGCCCGTTTTAGCAAAATAATTGCTCTTGGAAAAAAAAAATTTGTTTCGATTTTTTTCCAATTTTTTTTTTTTGTGTATCGAAAATAATTCAGAATTTAATTGTAATTCTGACTTAAGTTCTAATATACTTTAAACAAATATTTTCAACTTTGCAATTCAGTTTATATATTTCTAATAAATATTAGACAATTTACAGTATTTATAATAATCTTGAAAACATTTAATATTTCTTGAACATATTTCGTTACGGTACGGGAAGTTTCAGCAATTTGCCTTAAGGCACGATGCCATACACACACTAGTTATGATTATATTTACAATTCTATTTACATTTCATCAATATCTCAAATCTATTACAGTTAAAGTTTTGTTTTTGTAACAAAAGTTTAAATTGTGTAGCTTGTTATATTATGCATGCTGAAAATATCCATTTTAAAGAAAAGCAAAATTCTTTTTTTGAGATAACGGAGTATCTGTTATGAATGATCCAAAAAAAAAACATTCAATTTGTAATGATTGAGAGAGAGTGGTAATTTTTTTTTGGCAAAGACAGGTCCGGCCATTTTGGAGATGGTCCAAAAAACTGCAGTTTTTGAGAGAACTAAGCATCCGATTTGAATGACTCAAAAAACTTTTTGCTTGTCATAACAAAATAATTGCTTTAGGCAAAATTGTGTTTCCACTTTTTTTTCAGATTTTTTTTCTGTACATCGAAAATAATTCAGATTTTAATTTTAATTCTGGCTAAAGCTCTAATGCTCACTTATATACTCTAAATAAATAATTATAACTTTGAAATTCAGTTTATATAATTTTTATAAATATTAGACAATGTTATAGTATTTATAATAATCTATTTGATAACTTTTAATATACCTCGAACATTTCGTTACGGTACGGGAAGTTCCAGCAATATGCTTTAAGGCACGATGCCATACAACACTAGTTGTTCTTTGTTTGGCATTTAAACTTTGATTTCTGTATTTTATATTGATAATTTTGTATTAAATAATTGTAAAATTCTTTTAGCTAAATGATGAGGCAAATGTAGTAGTGAAACGTATGAACTAAAATAAAATTTTATATTATTCCGGCGCATTGGCTGTTTATGTACTACTCCACTGTCATAAATTTCAGGAGCTACATTTACTATAATATTATACTATTTATTAGTAACCTAATAATATTTATCAACTTGAATATTCTCTTGATGACAATATTTGTAATATAAGTCGCATTGAAATTATTAACTTTTCGCATAAGAAGTTGGTTTTCGCAAAAAAATGCATGTATTCTCGTCGTTTCAAGTCATGAGACCAAATTTGGAAAAAGTATGCGTTCTTGTATGTAAGCCGATTTTTGACCTTTTGTTGACGTTTGCTCAAAAACGTCTGAACCGATTTCAAAAATTTAAAAGCTGTTCGATGGAACCAGAGTCAGTCAGTTTTGTGCTATGATCGGCCAAGTCGTTTCTTTGTAATTACTAGAAGAGTATAAAAAAAATTGTCCACGTTTTAGCCCAATACGTTGAACCGAAGAAGATATTGATCGGAAATCGCGTTGATAAGTTTTTGGTGAAAATCGGCCGGGCCGTTTCTTTGTGATTAATATGAAAGTTAAAAACGAGTTTTTGGTTTTAAAATTTTCACAATTTCATTCATATACATCCATTTATTTTAAGGTATGCTAAGATGTTAAGAAACCTTTGAAACGTAAAGATATAATATAAATCAAAATTTTAATTTTTTTTTTTGGACGATTACTATAACCTATTCTATGAGAAGTTAATAAGTAACCAATAATAACAAATATTAGATCAAGCCCTTTTTTAAAACAAGTTTTAATTTTTATGTTATTCATATACATATATACATAAACATAATACATATAAATATAAATATAAACAACTTAATTTAAATAATGACACTATATATTCTTGTAATAACTTCTGGCAGTAAACAATATTTGGTGAGCAATAAATCATTAAATATTATATTTTATCAGCCACCACAAATATTTTCAAAGATATTTTATAAGCAATATTCACCAAACTGTTCTACACTGATGAGAACGTCTGCTAATTATGATTATAATGTCGTTAAAATTATGAAAATTTAATCCTCTATCATAAATTTATCTGCAAACTATTTTATCAGTTCTCATGATTGTTTTGTTTTGAATGACATTTTAATTCATGTTTAGATTTTAACGTTTTATTACATACTTCACATTTTTAAAGATGTTCTACATCTACAGTATCAACAGTTTTATATTTGTTTAATGATTATGTAGCTGCGAATGTTTTATTCATTAATGATTGCTTTCTGGTGTGGACAAATTCATATCGTTTTGAATTGCATTGCATATTCTGCATTTATGTGGTCATTCTCCAGTATGAATCATTACATGCTGGTTTAATATTTCTTTTCTCGTGACTGATTTATTGCATAATGGACCAAGAATGTTAACTAGTATGGATCAATTCATGCCGACTTAAATATAGTTTTGATGCAAATATTTTTTTACATACTGCACATTTATGATTCTTTTCTTTAGTATGGATATATTCATGTCGTTTTAAATGGCTTTGTGTTGTAAATGCTTTATTGCACATTTTGCATTTATGTGGTCGTTCTCCAGTATGAATCATTAAATGTTGGTTTAATCTGGCTTTTCTTAAAAATGTTTTATTGCATAATGCACACTTATTAGGACGTTCACTAGTGTGGATCATTTCATGCCGACTTAAATATTTTTTTGTTGCAAATGTTTTTTTACATACTGCACATTTATGATTCCTTTCTTTAGTATGGATAAATTCATGTTGTTTTAAATAGCTTTTTGTTGCAAATGCTTTATTGCACATTTTGCATTTATGTCGTTCTCCACTATGAATCATTACATGTTTGTTTAATATATCTTTTTTTAAGAATGTTTTATTGCATAATGCACACTTATGAGGACGTTCACCAGTGTGGATCATTTCATGCCGACTTAAATATAGTTTTGATGCAAATGTTTTTTTACATACTGCACATTTATGATTCTTTTTTTTAGTATGGATAAATCCATGTTGTTTTAAATTGCTTTGTGTTGTAAATGCTTTATTGCACATTTTGCATTTATGTGGTCGTTCTCCAGTATGAATCATTACATGTCTGTTTAATTTGTCTTTTATTGAGAATGTTTTATTGCATAATGCACACTTATGAGGACGTTCTCCAGTGTGGATCATTTCATGCCGCCTTAAATTTTGTTTTGTTGCAAATGTTTTTTTACATACACCACATTTATAATTGCTTTCTTTAGTATGAACAAATTGATGTTTTTTTAATAAGCCTTGTGTTGCAAATGCTTTACTGCATATTAAGCATTTATGTGGTCGTTCTCCCATATGAAACATTTTATGTCGTATTAGATTACCATTGGTTAAAAATTCTTTATTACATGTTTCACATTTGTAAGGACGTTGTCCTGTATGAACGCTTTCATGTTGTTTTAATGAAAGTTTTGTTGTGTATCTTTTATTGCATTTTGCACATTCATGAAGGTGTCTTCCTAAAACTTTTTTAAATGATTTATTGCATTCACTTGTATTATCGACTAAATCACTTGACTTACTGACGTCGTCATTACATATGT